GGGAATATGTGTTCATTAGGTGTTTGGAGAATTTAGGACCAGGAGCCACTCACACCTCCCATACAAATAACATTTTCTTGAGGGTAAGTCCTTAACTCAAAATACTAAAGAAGGAAATAGTCCCCAAAAGTCTGTGGTATAATCTACTCTGTACAATCTTCCTCACTAGACTCCATAATTCCTGATGAAACTATCTTCCTGGTCTCTGAGCTTACTATGTGTTGAAAGGTAAAAAATTCAGGCTTAGTAGTTTAAAAAAAAAAAATGTGTCCAGCAGCTGGGGACTTTACCGGTGTAAAAATCTCCCTTTCAAGGGGTCAGGAGGACAGGGGCTGAAGTATAGAAAGTGGAAACACATCAAGGAGGAAGGAATGTTTAAATACTGTACAGGTGCCAACCTAAGCCCTTCTCCACCGGGCGCAGGTCTATAGCCTCAATCTCAAGACAGACACCTCTCTAGCTAGAGGAACTTTCAGACACCAGGCAAGGCTCTGTAGGGAGGCCGGCCTAACTCAGAACCAAATAAACATCCCAATCCTTCTTTCCCCCCAAATCGGCCAAAGCTAAATCTGAAGTACTGCTTCCTACATAAGTTCCCACATATTTCTCTGTGCTCGTTATAGCTATTAAAATTCTTTATAGGCTAGCTCAAATGTCACCAGCTTCGGAGCTTTCTCTGGCACAGACCAGCAATGCCACTAGTTTTGCAACTCCAGGGGCAGAGATGATACGCAAATTCCTGATTCATTCCGAGACAATCTAACTCAGGGCCTCATTGTGTCCACTTCTACAACGGATTCGAAAAGCCCACTATTACAATAAGCATAGAAAAGGCGCAGGGAACATAGGAAAGAAGCGCTTTCTAGGGACCTAGGTAGGACACCTGAAGCTTGTAAAGGTCTGAAGATAGCAGCTGATGGAAGAGGAAGGAACGAGACAAACACAAGGTCGCCTGCACAACTGCTGACGGGGACTAAGTGAAGACCTGGGGCTTTAACAGGGGTAGGAGCTCGTCTTGGCGTCCCCTCTGTAATCTGTCCTTTACAGGCCTCCGTACTCGTAGAGACCTGTACTTCAGCACCCTCTACTCTGTAGGGCTTTTTAGGTCCCCAAGTCCCAGAGTCTAAAACCTCACTCCCGAGACCCGCCTGCCGCGGCCGCACCTGGTCCGAGTCTTCGTTTTCGCTGCTGTAGCAGCACCCCATTTCTGGGGTAGGGACGGGCGCTCAGGCCGCGCCGAGGAGGGACGGCGTCCGTCGGGAGCCCTTCCGGTCACGTGACCCTCGGCTGGCTCCCGCGAGCTACTATCCGTTCCCCTCCCCCAGACTACCCAGTCCCAGAGCCGCCGCCAAACCCCGGCTTCCGGCCCCACCTCCCGCCGCGTGACCACTACCAACCAATGGGAAGACGTATCCTGTGTGCCAAGGCAGGATCACGTGACGCGAGGAACAGGCGGGGCGTGTCACATGACTGTCAGTTTCCCAGTCTGTAAACTTAAATCCTCTAAGCCTTTGGCGGTTGGTGTTCGTTCGTATAGCCCTTAGGCGAAGTTTCTGGGGCAGTGAGCGAACTCATGCCAACTGCTGCCATGATACTCTTCCAAAAGCCGACTGGGATCCCGGCCCGAGGCTGCTGCGGGCTCTAGTTTGGGGCAATCACGAGCCCCAGAACATTGGTGTCCGGTGGGGCGGGGAAGGGGAAGTTTATAGCTTCGCTAGTCGAAGTGGAGACTCCCCATTGCTGACCTATCACCTTAAGGCGTTTCTCTCATTTAGGTGTCTGGAATCGAACTGAGGATTTCGTGCTTGCCAGGCAGGCTTTGCACCGCCGATCCCAGCCCTCAGGCCGTTCTCTTCAATCCTGCCTTTGATCACAGCTATCATAATTAACACAAAGCGTTTATTTTTATAAGGGGGGGGCGGGTGTTCTCAGACTGAGGGTCACTAAGTCGCCGAGGCTGGCTTTGAAATGAAGATTGTCCTACCTCTGCCTCCCAAGTGCTGGTATTAGGCTCGAGATAGTTCAGCAGCACAGCATCTGGCAAGCACAAAGTCCTGCGTTGGATTCCCAGTACCAAAAAAAAAAAAAAAAAAGTCTTAAGCCAAGTGCTGGTATAGTCATGCCGGGAGTGGTGGTGAAGACCTGTAATCCCAGCACTTGGGAACCTGAGGCACAGGGTTGCCACGAGCTGGAGACCAGCCTGGGCTCAGTAGTGGTTTCAAGGTCAGCCTGAACAGTATAGCAGACCTTGTCTTAAAAAACAAAAACAAAGAAGACTTGTCTTCTTTGGGCCAAGGATACAGGGCCACATCTGAACTCTAGATTATGCACTGATACCTGTATCCCCAGTTCACGTCATAGTGTGAAGGGGTGGGGAAGGTGCTTCCACTAGCCGTAAAGAAATACTTGTAGTTTCTTCTCTTTAGTTGTGTTATTTTGATTTTCGCTTGCATTACTACACATGGAACCCAGGTTCTCAAGTGTCATAGACAAGCATTCTACCATTGAGCTACACCCCCAAGTCTTTTTTTTTTTTTTTTTTTTTTTTTTGAGACAGGGTTTAAGTTGCAGGGGCTATCCTTGAACTTCTTTCCTCCTGCCTCAGTCTCCCTAGTGACTGGGAGGCCTGCTATACCCTACCCAGCAGTACTTGGCTTCTTGATTGAGCTGAACTTCGCACCTGGGGCCTGGTATGCTCTCTCCCCTCTAGGTTTGCCTACTGTCTACAAGGCTGCTGAATACAAATGATATCCATCTGATTATCTTCTCTGACTGTTCTCTGAGCATCTTCTGCTGGCTCCCTGTGCTTCATTTTTATCCAGTGTGAATTTACACATTAGGTCAGTGAATGTTTACTGTATACTGTGTGCCACCCCAGTGCTCTATCTGGATAGACAGTCATTTAGAAAAGTCCGAAGTTCTTGTACTCACAGAGCATGCAATCTAGTGATCACAGCATATGTAATCTTATTCCTACATCAGCCTTCTCTACCAAATTGAGAGTTCCTGGAGGACAGGGGCAGGTTCTGACACTTCTCTGTGACCCAACCCCTAACATTTGCTTAGGGAAAACTTGAATTTTGAGTTGAATAATTTAGTTTCTCCCTCACCTTGGCTCATACATTTCATGTTCTAATCCAAGAGCCTGGGGTACATTTCATATCCTAAACCAAGAGCCTGGGGTTGAAATCACCAGACCTAGCAGCATTTGTTACCCCATCCATCAAGACCCTAGAGTTCTCTAAGTTTTTTTGAAGTCTTCTAGAGTATAGCAGGCAGCTCTGGTAACTTGAACTGCAAGTCTCAGATAGCAATAGCTGCCTCACCATCAATAATTGAAAGCAGTTCCAGCTTCCTGCCTCAGCATTATTCCCTGAGGACTCCCCTTCCTGCCCAGTACTCCAGTCTTCGTAAGCACAGCATCTATCCCAGGTAAGGCGGGCCTTGTGGGTTCCCATGCCCACCATTGTGTATCTACTCACATCCATTCATGTCCTCTCCCACCCCCATCAGAGGCCTTGGAAGTCCTGGGAGGTCAGAGATGGAGGGGGAGGATGGTCCAGGATTGGAAAAGGAGAGGACAACCATCCTTCCCAGGGAGCTTTGGGGAAAAAGGCTGAGTGTGAGGAACATGTGTGCACTTGTAAAAGGAATGCTGACAGCACAGGGAAAGAGGTAGAAAAAGAAGAGGGAAGAAGGACAGGATCAAGGTCTGCTTCCACCTTCAGTGAAGAGCAAGAGTCCTGGGATGGGAAAAAAAAAAAAAAAAAGACATCTCACCGCAACACTTTATGGAGTATTTTAATTGCCTTGTACTGAGACACAGCACAGTGACAGTGCAGCATTTTCTGAACAAAAGAACCAAACTTTTTTCTTCTGCTGCACAGTATGAGGTGAGAGGAGAGCAAGCAGCTATGGTGTCTAAAGAGAGTGTGGATATTGTAGAAGGAACTGAAGAGAGGTCCTGAAGAAGGGGTGGCATCAGGAATAAAAATAAATGGGTGAGGGGAGTGAAGTGGAGTTGGGAGAAGAGCTTGGGACTGGAAAGAGGTGGCTTAGGTTTGAGCTGAACACGGACAGTACAGAATCTTTTTTTTTTTTTTTCTTTTGAGACAAGGTTTCTCTGTGCAGTTCAGGCAAGACTTGAACTCACTTTGTAGACTGGGCTGACCTCAGACTCATAACAATCTGCCTGCCTCAGCATCCCATGTGTTGGGATTACAATCATGTGCTACCCCATCTGGCCTAGAATCTTTGAACATAGCCATAACAAATATAAGCTTGGAATCATACCAACCTGTATTCAGCTTCAGCTTCCTGTGCTTCATCTTTATCCAATGTCAGTTTTTTGGTTTTTTGCAGTACAGGGGATTGAACTCAGGAACTTGTGCTTGCCAGGCAGGCACTTACTCTCCTGAGCTATCTGTCTCCCTGGCCCCAGTCAGTTTGTTTTTGTTTTGTTGTTTTGTCTTTTTTTTTTTAAATACAATCTAGTGAGACTAGTAGTTCAGGCTGATCTCAAACTCATGGTGATCATTCTACCTCAACCTCCCCAGTGTTAGGACTTTAGACATGCATCACCACGCTCAGCAATTAGCTTTTTATTTTCTTTTTGGTGGAACCGGGTATTGAACTCAGGCCCTTGTGCTTGCCAGGCAAGCACTAACAATTAGCTTTTTTTTTTTTTTTTCCCCATTATTTTTTATTTTTTCTTTGGAACTGGGGATTGAACTCAGGCCCTTGCGCTTGCCAGGGAAGTGCTTATTCCACTGAGCCATCTCCTGAGGCCAAGTTAGCTTTTTAAAATCAATGAATGTTTACTATCTGCTGTGCCCAATTCTGCATTATGACTGGACAAAAGACACAGTCTCTCTCAGTCATGGTCCATGAAATACAAGCATAGTCAATGGCTGGTAAAGGCTACACAAGTGACAGTCAATTAATTGGTGGGTGTGGGTTTCTCTCCTACCTTTTTCCACTCCAGGGCCCAGATAGGGACCATGTCCCCAGCAATTGCGTTGGCATTCCTGCCACTGGTGGTGACATTGCTGGTGCGATACCGGCACTACTTCCGACTGCTTGTGCGCACAGTCTTGCTGAGGAGCCTCCGAGATTGCTTGTCAGGATTACGGATTGAGGAGAGGGCCTTCAGCTATGTGCTTACCCATGCCCTGCCTGGGGATCCTGGTCACATCCTCACCACCCTGGACCACTGGAGCAGCCACTGCGAGTACCTGAGCCACATGGGGCCTGTCAAAGGTCAGTGTTCCAGGAAGTGCCTCCAAGAGGGTAAAGAAAGATCTGGGACCTGTCCCAGGTAAATTGGGCAGGTTTCTGTTCTTCCTTGGGTATCTTTTCTCATCTGGCAATGGACTCAGACTGAGTCATTTATTCATCTGGTAAACATTTATTGCCATCTATTTTGTACCAGATGATGTGCTATGTGAGGAAGAGATGGAGGCAACAGGGATGAACCAACCACAAACACTGGGACCATAATATACAGGGAATAATTATTAACTCACAGCTTTGTAATTATCTATACCCAAGTCTTTCTTCCCTACCATAGAAGTTTCTGCGTCCAATTCAGGATAACACTCCCTGTATTCATCTCAGTCCCAGTTCTCAGCAGAGTTAGATTATTATTTTAACTCAGAAACATACTCAATAAATAATAAAAGGGGGTTATGTGAAACTAGAAGGCTCTTGGGAGCCTGGAAGATGGAGTGGTGTTTCTACCTGGGCATTTTTGGAGGAGACAACATTTGAAATTTTCTTTTTTTTTTTTATTTTATTTATTGGGGGGGGCAGCTCAGCCCACCGGGGGGGGGGGCTGGCTGGCACGTGGTGCTGGGGGATTGAACCGCGGTCCCTGTGCTTTGCTAAGCTTGTTCTAAGTAGGTGCCTTAGACCACTGAGCCATCTCACCAGCTCCAAGGAGACAACATTTGAAGTGAGTCTAGGATTCCTTTCAAGCTGGCCAGGTAGATGGGGGTGGGAGTGGGGAAGGGCAAAGCCAGTCGCATGTACGTATGTGGCAGGGACAGATGAGACATCATGGTTGATTCTGGAAACAGCTGTTTGGGATGGCTATGATTTCAAGCTACAGGTAACAGCAGCTGAGAGCTGTAGCTGGAAAGCTAGGATAGGATCAGGTCTAAGAAGGCCCTAAGGGGCCAGGGAGATAGTGCAATAGAGTAAGAGCTTGCCTGGCAAGTACAGGGTCCCGAGTTCAATCCTTGGTACTGAAAAAAAAAAAAAAAAAAAAAGAGAGAGAGAGAGAGAAGGTCCTGAATCCCAGGCTGAGGATCCCAGTTCAGTCTTAAAGGCCTTTAAAATCATTGGCACCAGTGATTGAGAGATTTTTCAGATTTCTGGTGGCTGAGATGAACAGACTGGAGGGGGCAGGAGGACTAGGGCAACTGGGGAAACAAATGAGACCACAGTTTGTTGGGGGCTGTAAGAGGACGGGTAGGGATTTGCAGTCTCTCTTCATCAGAGGCCCATGTCCACCTCCATGTCTTCTACAACAGCTGTCTTGCCCTGTAGGTCAGATCCTAATGCGGCTGGTGGAAGAGAAAGCCCCTGCTTGTGTGCTGGAGCTGGGCACCTACTGTGGATATTCCACACTACTTATTGCCCGCGTCCTGCCCCCTGGGAGTCGCCTTCTCACCGTGGAGCGGGATCCACGCACTGCAGCAGTGGCTGAGAAGCTGATCCGCTTGGCTGGTTTCGATGAGCGCACGGTCAGCCTCCCCATCTCCCGAACCTCGATCTCTTCTCTGGTACCCCCACCTTGCCCTAGCCAGGTCTCCTAGCACCTGTGACCCTGTAGGGTGTGTGATGACTGTCCACGGCCATCAGAACATACTTTCTGCTAGATGAAAAAAGCAGCTAAGTCTGCAGTGCTCAGCAACTGGAGTAACTGGAGTCCAAATCAGTCTGCCTCTGGTTAGCTGTGTGACCTTCGCAAAGCACATATCCTCTGAATCTCAGCTCCTTCATGGGCAGAATGAAAATTACAATAGTGACCTAACTTCTTGGGTTCTGAGGCCAGAGCAAATGTGACACACTCGTGGGGACTTAGGGCAGGTCCTGGTAGGGCCCGGAGTGGGAAAGGAATCCCTCCTACCCTCACAGCGCTGCCTCCCCCCACAGGTGGAGCTCATTGTTGGCAGCTCAGAGGAGGTGATTCCACGCCTAAGAGCCCAGCATCAGCTGAGTCGGGCAGACCTGGTGCTCCTGGCACACCGGCCCCGATATTACTTGAGGGACCTGCAGCTGCTGGAGGCCCATGCTCTGCTGCCAGCTGGTGCCACTGTGTTGGCTGACCATGTGCTCTTCCCAGGTGCACCCCGCTTCCTGCAGTATGCCAAGAGCTGTGGCCGCTACCGCTGCCGCCTACACCACACTGGTCTCCTCGACTTTCCTGCCATCAAGGATGGCATAGCCCAGCTCACCTATGCGGGACCTGGCTGAGGTTCAGAACCAGGAGTATTTACTACTTCACCCCCACCCCCACTCCCACCTAAACAAGGACCTCAGAACATCCCCTTCCTTTCCTATTTGGGGCTCAACACATGCTGGGCTCAGGGCTAGGAGGCTGTCTTCCTAACTCTGCCCTTTTTCATCCCCCACACTGACCTAAAGAAGTGTCAAATTTTATCAAGACTGCCTGGTCCCACTGGTCCCCTCCTTGTAGAGACATGGACTGAGAGCAGGAGGCCTGAGCTCCAAAGACAACTGTCTGGTTTGCTCAGTGACTTCAGGTGAGTCCTACCCTGCTCTGAGAGTTAATCTACACTAAGATAGCTAGCTAGGAGATCCCTAGAGCCTCCCAGCTCTGCCTCAGGAAGTGTCCCTGAGTAACCTAGACATCTTGAGCAGGATTAGAGGAAATACAAGATAACATGAGGCCATGCAGGAGTAGCTGAGTTGAAGCTGGAACACAGAAGCCTGGGCCCAGGTTCTCCTACCCTGGTCTGCCTGGCCCTGGAACACAGAAGCCTGGGCCCAGGTTCTCCTACCCTGGTCTGCCTGGCCTGTTAGGTTTGCTTCATATCTCTTAAATGCCCTATTATCCCCACAAGCCCAAGAGAAGATGTTGGAATCTTCTAGGTCCCACCAAATAGGGAATAGACATAGGGAAAAGAAAAAAAAAAAAAATCAGTTCTGTGTCTTTATTAACAAGAGTTAAAAAGATACCAGACCTGACAACCAAGGGGTGAGGTACTGGCCAGGAAGGTGGGATGGGCTCAGGACTGGGGATTCGAGGGCACAGATGGTCTGGGAGGGGTTGAGATCAGCTCCTGGCAACAGACGAGGATGTGCCTAAAGGTGAGCTTTCAGGCACTGAGGCCACCTGCTAGTTCTGCAGGACTGCGCAGTTGGGGCTGGGGATGCAGGGCAGGTCGGGGTGGCCTGGAATCACCACCTGCCTTGCCCACCTAGATCATCCACTGGTCCTGATCCTGTTCGTTACCTTCCATGTCCACCTAGAGAAGAGGCTAAATGTGGGTGGGTGGGGCCTGAGCCCCAGATCCTGCCCCGCGCTGGATCCGGGGTTTCTGTACCCTTTGTCCATCGATTAGTCCGAGTTAGGGCCCTCACCACTACCCGCGCCTACCTCGTTGACTTCTCCATCATCGGGTGACTCATTGTAGTCATTCATCTCATCCATGTCCTGCATGTCCTCATCGTCCTCTGAGTCCTCCTCACTGTCCTCATCGTCATCTTCATCCTCCTCTTCCTCATCATCATAGTGCTGGAACACAAGGGAGACTTGAGCCCCCCGGGCTGCCAGACCCCCAGAGCTTCCCTGCCCCTACTCCACAGAATCTCTACCCAGACTGAGAACCACGACTGCTGTGGCTCAGAGACAGGACATGCAGAATTAGAAGGAGCTCAGTCCACCATGGGCCCCACAAAGAGCCCACCTGCTGCAGACTCACCTCTGAGGCTGGCTTGCCAATAGGGACCAGGTTGTTGTCCTTCTCCGCGATGCTTTGGAGCTGTGGGCAAAGTGGGATTGGCAGGGCCCAAGAAGAACAGATCAGGGCATGGAACTGACCCACTCTCACTCAAAATAGATCCCTAAGTGTTGGTACAGAGGCTTCCTCCCAGTTCTCAGGCAAATTTGATCCCTTTCTTTCCTGTCATCTGCCACTTATAAATTTGATCCAACTATTTAAACTCTCTGGGCCTTGGTTTCTTCATGTAATCATGATTAAGGGTGAACTGACAGCCTAGAACATGGTATCTGCTCGATCCAGGATATAATAAATGGTTAAAATTATATTCTTTTCCTTTTTTTGGCCAGCTCAGCCCACCCTGAGGGCGGGGCTGGTGCAGCATGTGGTGCCTGGGATTGAACCACAGTCCCCTGCACCTGCCTAAGCTTACCTAAGCAGGTGCTTTAGACCGCTGAGCTATCTCAGCAGCCCCCTAAAATTACTAAATTCTGTGCTTTTGGGAAAAGAGTTTAGGCTGAGGGGAACTTGAGCCCTAATTTTGCCCAGAAGTGCTACAGTCCCCCAGCAAATGAGAGCACCAGGAAGAAGAGATCCTTGACTCCTGGCTCCCAGCCTGTGGTCTCCCAGCTAGCAGAGAGCTCTTCCAGGGCAAGTTTCCCTAGTAAGACCCACAGAGAGGAGGCAGCAGAGCTGCATGTGCTGCTCGAGGTTCTCACTCACCCAGGCCTGGTGCTGCTGCTCCTGCTGCTGCAGCTCTGTCTCCTCCACACAAGGTCGATCCAGATTAAACCACAAAGTCTCAGTCACACGGGGGAAGAGTGAGGGGAACAAGGTGGACATGGCTCCTAGACCAAGGAGAAGTGTAAGGTGAATGTGTTTTGCTTCAGATGTCAATGGGTTGTAATATGAATGAAGGAGAGGGTGAAGTGGAAGGTAGCAGGGAAACAACTATTCCCACTGGGAATCACACAGACCTGGGTTTGAGTCCTGGCTCCACCACTTACTAGCTGTTTGTGGCCAAGTCACTTAACCTCCCTGGGCCTCAGTTTCCTCATCTGTAAAATGAGGATAATAACAATTATACCACCCTCAAAGTCACTCTGATAGTTATTTAAGTAAAGCTGTAGGTTGTTTGTGGAAGGAAAAGAACATGAACCAACTATAGAGCTGGAATCCAGAATACAGAGTAGATTAAAAACTGAGAGGCACTCCCTTGCCAGCCGTGATGGAGCATACGTGTAATCCCAGCACCCCAGAGGCTAAGGCAGGAGGATGGATACAAGGTCAAGGACAGTTTAGGCTATGATAGTGAGTTCAAACCCAGCCCTAACTAGTGAAATCCTGTCTCAAAACAAAGAGGCAACAAGGCTCTACAAAAATTAACTTTATTCCCCCAAACCCTAAATCTTAATTTTTGCCCTTTCTGATAGACCATGAAATACCTACCCAGTGTGAAAATTTTGGAACACTAACCACCTCTTTCATAGACCACAGTCAAACTGGTGAACAGAGGTTGCGTTGCCCGCAAACAGAATTTCACAGGACATTCTAGCAGTCATGGATATACACATAGATGAAAGGCGTGGCGGCACACGCCTGTAATCCCTGCCCTCCCAGCACTCAGGAGGCCGAGGCAGGAGGATCCACTGCGAGTTAGCCTGGGCTACAAAGTGAGTTCAAGGCAAGCGTGAACTGCATAACAAGACCCTGTCTCGAAAAGACCAAAGAGGGCCAGGGAGATAGCTCAGTGGAATAAGTGCTTCCCTGGCCAAGTGCAAGGGCCTGAGTTTGAACCCTGGTTCTGAAAAAAACGTCTGAACTCCAGTCACGCCGCTTTATCTCGAAAAAAAAAAAAAAAAAAAAAAAAAAACAGAAAAGACCAAAGAATAGGAGATAGGACGGATGGACTGAAATTAAGAGAAAAGTAAATCAGCTGAGAAAGCTAACCAGGGGGGCTGGAGAGATGGCTCAGTGGTCTAAAGCACCTACTTGAAACAAGCTTGGCAAAGCACAGGGACCAAGGTTCGATCCCCCAGCACCACATGCCAGCCAGCCCCGCCCCCTGGTGGGCTGAGCTGGCCACACACACACACGCAATAAATAAATGTAATAAATAAAAATAAATAATTAAAAAAAAGAATACAAGATCTTTAAAAAAAAAAAAGAAAGAAAGAAAGAAAGAAAGCTAACCAGGGAGGTCGCAGGAAACCTGAATTTAAACACCTCAGCTCACGAAAGGCAGTCTGAGACCCAACAGGCTGACTCGATTTAGGACATTCCGTGAGCCAGGGCTTAGAACTAGCGCAGGGAGGGTATCCAGGCCAAGCATTGGAGAAGAGCAGAGAAAAAAAATTCATATGAAAGTCAGTTTTTGCCAGACTTATTTGACCGCCCCTGGTCCAGTCGCTGACATTCCATAGACCCAAACTTGCCAGTCTCTGGCTCATACCACAGAAGTCACCCTCACACCCCATAAATAAAGATCTTGCCTCGGAAAACCCAACCCAACCCTGCAAAGTCACCGCCCATTCTTTGCTTATTATGATAATGACCGCGTGGTTGACCAACAGAAAGAAGGCAGGGGTGGGCCTTGGACAGGAGTTTGACCTTATAGGGTTGATAATCGCGAAAGGAGCGGGGCCTGGGTAGAGCCAATTAACTGAAAGAAATGCCAGGGTGACAGGAAGTGACACCAATGAATGACGGGTCTGGTGTTGATGGGGTGGGGCTTAGTCTCAAAGAAGCGGCCAATGAGGAGCAGCTCTTTAAGGGTGACTGGGTCGGAATGTACAGCTCCGAAGGAACTAGGCTTCTCTTGGGGAAGGAAGAAAAAAGGAGCAAAAAGACAACCGCAGCTTCGCATCTGTACTTACCGCGCCAGGAGGCGGCAGCCGGAGGCGACCCGGAAGCGCTTCTCGCAGCTTGAGCGGAAGGACCCACCAAACGCATGCGTCGTTTGTCTCCTTTAATGTTGCCCCGCCCCCATATAAACCGGAAGTGACATCAAACATATCTGCGGTACTAGTTGGAGAATGGTCTATTGGGCCTGCCTTGAGTCTCACCCAATCCCGCTCACCCGCGGGCCGCCGTCACCGCGGCTTCATCTAATCGCGCCCCTCCATCTCTCAGTGTTTGCGCTCTAACCTCTTTAAGAAAATGGCTACTAGCACATTAGGTCCTTTTGGGTTCCCTTCTGTTGCTTTGCAGTAAAATCTACTTTCGCCTCTCAGACTTGGTTTTTCGTGTAAAGCAATAGCATATCTTTTTTTATATCTCGAACAAGAACGTGTGATTACCATATTTCAGGCTTTTCTAGAGGCTGGGGATAAATTAATGAGTATGGTCACTGGCCCCAAAGACCTCAGTGCACAGGGGAAGTCAGACCCTGCAGACCTCGAGTGGAATTGTTGGTTTCCCCCCATCCCCCTTTTCCCTTTCCCGATACTGGGAATTGTGCACAGTGTCTTTTTACTGAGTAACATCCCTAAGCCCTTTTTTATTTTGAGACAGGCTCACTAGGTTGCTAAATTGCCAAGGCTGGTTGGTTGCTGGATTATTTTGGTGTGCCACCAAACACTGGTCTTTTAAGGTTGCCTGTCCAGTTCTGACATTGGAGGTTTCAGGGACTTGTAAACCTCAGACGCAGCGCAATACTGTAGGAGAACTCAGCCATACTTCTCAAGACTAGACCAAAATAACCCCCATATGCTTAAGTCCTCCTTTATTGACTCCTTTTTTTTTTTTTTTTTTTTTTTTTTTTAGTTCAGGCTGGCCTTCCAACTCATGTCATCCAGGGTGGCCTCGAACTCACATCGGTCCTTCTACCTCAGTTTTCTTAAGTGCTGGGATTACAGGGGTAAAACAGACATCACACCCTTCAGTTCTTGTCTCTGACCCAACCTTCCCTTCAGGGATTCTCAGGCTTTCTGGTAGAAAAAGGCCTTCAAACCCAAGTCTTTTTTATTTATTTATTTATTTATTTATTTATTTATGTGTGTGTGTGTGTGTGTGGCCAGCTCAGCGCACCAGAGGGCGCGGCTGGCTGGCATGTGGTGCTGGGGGATTGAACCGTGGTCCCTGTGCTTGGCTAAGCTTGTTCAAATAGGTGCTTTAGACCACTGAGCCATCTCACCAGCCCCAAACCCAAGTCTTATTAAACTCCATCACCTACCAGCCTCTTTTAGGACCCAGGACCGGCACTCATCCATGATTGTATTCTTCCTATGCCAAGCAGAAGTGAACACTGGGGTGCTCAGTTTCTTCTTTATTTAAA